CCCTAATACTTTTTACTTTCAATAAGGTTTTGAATGTAGGACTCTTACTTGCAATTGAGCACATTGTTGTTGATTTTACTTAAAGGATCTAAATGCTTTGTCCACCATGGTGGCAAAAGCTATAGTATGCCAAAAATGGGTGCAAATGTGACCCACTATAATTTATTTATTTACATTATTCACATTGACTGTGTCTAATTTTATATACTTCATGCTAATGATTTAGGTTTTGTAATTTTGTTCTAGGATGCCAAAATGCAGTCCCCCTGGTTAAGATTATCAGCATTTGTCAAATATCATCACAGTTTTCTTTTCTTCAGTTTGAGATAATACTGATAACACTACAATTGTGATTCAGTCCTCTACCAAATGTAAACAAATTATCCCTCTCTTCAAGACTAAATTAAGTGTTTGAAGTCTTTAATTGGCATTATCTATCATATCTGCTGGAATAATGAATGAACAGAAAAATCACATTTCATTGCAGCTTTGTGCACATCTCTGTTCAGTAAGAAACCATCACTATGTGAGAGGTGGCTGACATTGTTAGCCAAGAGCTAAAGTTTAATCGAAGGTCAACATGAGCTCAATATATCAACAAATCAATATATTTGTCTGGCCCTGTGCAGCACTACTAAACATGGTGTATCATGGACCTGCCCTTTATTCTGCACTAACCCATCCACAGCAGACCTGTCTATCTGTCAGCCTGTCAGTCTCTCTGCCTGCCTCGCCCCCGGGGGCCGTGTTTAAACATCCCTCCAGGCAGGATTCAAAACTCTGACAGGGGCTCAGCCGATCCTTAAAAGATGGAACGTGAAGATGTGAAACCTCCAGAATGTGGTGAGGAAGGACTTTAAATAGGTGACTTCTCAGAAAGAAGCAGCTTCACCACCTTGGGAAATAGTTAATGCCCCATCTTCCTCCAGCAGCCCCCATCATCGGCCCTCACTGCAGGCAACAAGCTGCTCGGAGACACAGCTTCATACGTACGCTATGTGACCACTGGCACACTCAGTATTATGCAGGAGAACAGAGTGCATCCTGGCATGAAAAATCTGCAGGGACTTCAGCCTTTTCTTCCGAGGTACAGCATGGTCAGCCAAACCCAGGGGCATGTTGGCGCAGCAAACTGCTGCCTGATCCCAGGGAAGGCACAGTGCATGCTGGGAGGTCACTGTGAAGGTCACTGCACTTTTCAGCGCGCTGCTAAACATGGATGTTAATACAGAGAATGCATAGGACTGGAGAAGCACTGCAGGCCAGCCGATCCTTCGAAGCCATGCAAATGAGTTGGATCCTTTAGGATCCTGGAAAGCTCCAACATCACAAACCCTGTCATTGCTTTCAAGATTTCTCTGAAGCTTTCAAATCTGAGACACGACTAGCTGCCATAGAGGTCTTACTGTTACTTACTAATACTGTTGATATAGTTGTAATAAAGAGCAAATATTTTACTCTTTTTTAAAACATTACTACCTTTTACAAAAAACTATCAAGTGTTTCTGCAGACGTTTCGAAAAGTTTCTTAAGCAGTATTATCAGCAATTTTACTTGAAGTAAAGCATTTTTATAAAGTATTTTACTGTGGTTTTACTATTAAATATTATGTTTTTGGATTAATGTTATTGGTGCATTAATGTGTGTGTTGGATTTTACTGCTGATGTTTAATGTTGAATATTTTAACTTCTTTTTGTACTGTTGGGTACATCTGCAGAAATGCATCATATCCTTAAAGATCATCAGATGTCCGTACCTCTAAAAATTCGCAAGCTACGGAAAAGAAAAAAAATACATATACATACATATATGTATATATCTATATATATATATATATATATATATATATACATGTATATATGTGTGTTTGTATATATATGTTTATATATGTATGTGTGTATGTGTGTGTGTATGTGTGTGTGTGTGTGTGTGTACATATGTATGTATATCTATATGTGTGTGTGTGTGTGTGTGTGTATTCGATTCAAACATTTGCTTGTATATGAGACAGTCTCCAGCACTGCAATGTTAATCACAGCCGCGAGTATTTTACATGAAGGAGGCTGCAGAGCATGAGGCTGTTTACATTTTACAGACTTGCAGTAACAGCTTTAGGATGTTCACACTGATATTTTTTGTGTGATGAACACAATGAGATCAGATTTGTGAATGAAACGATGCACATCAGGATGGTGAAACAGAAAGGCAAAGTCACCTCAGTTTAAAGCCATACAGTTTGTTTGCTAAAATCTAGATGCAGGGACATGTTCCCCTTTTCTCTCTACACTTGTCTGCAGCCGAGCCTCTCTGAGGTTTCTCCAACTTTAGTGTCACCTTGAGATCCCACACTATTAAACAGCCCCACTGTCAACAATCAATAAATTTGGCTGGCCCTCTATCCTTCTTTTGTCTCTGCAAATGAAGCTGATGGATGAAAAAGAGCCCCGGTGCCCTCTCCCAGGTAATGTGCTGTGAACGACCATGTCAATACCTTCAGGGTTAACGGGGTAGAGGGGTGGAGGCAGAGCAGGGGGGCGGATTTAGGAAGAATGATGCATTTAGAGCAGGACACAGGAGCAGGGTCAACTCTCAGGACAACTTAATATTTAATCAACCCACCTCACCGGTAACCCTAAACCCCACAATCCCCCCCTGGTCAAGCAAGGAGACAAGTGGGAGAGGGGGGAGTAGAAACAGAGAAAGACGAGGGGGGAGGGCGAGACGACACTTTATCTTTCAAATTGTCTTGTGCTTTGACTGAGTGAGAATTAAGTGAGAGAGAGATGGAAGGAGAGAGAAAGACAAGATGAGACAGGGGACGTTTGCCGGGTGACAAAGACGGTGAGATGACCGTGTGCAGCAGACAGAGACAGACAGATGGAAGAAAAATGGAAGGTGGTGAATAACAGCATTTAAGTCTTCTCCATCACACAGATTGGAGGCCAGTGGCCAGGCTGTTTCAGGCAAGGTTAAAGAAAGCGATAAGCACATCATGATGTTGAGTGATGACATGATGGATACAGGTGGGACGGGGAGCAGAGACATTACAGTGTCGGGTCAAAAGCACATTCATAAAGGTGCTAGCTAGTGATGCGCGGCGGTCTTAAACTCCGGCTCAACAGCTTCAGTCATTTTCAATCCTATTATCATAAAACAGATCACTTCTGTTTTGATTGGCTGAGTCAAGTTTAAAGGTTTTATAGACAAAAATCATACACTAGCTCATTTACAGAATGGATTACAACCACATCATATTTCATTTGAATAGGAACATTTGACATTGGAACATTTGATGACTTTTCTCTACACACTTCATCAGGGTTGGGGCCAAAAATGTAAAGTCATAAAGGTTTCTTGCCAGAGGAAACGGCCATGGGGTCATTAGGATGGAATCAATTTATTTCTTTGTGTCTTTCTTGTTTGTGCGATTTCATATATAACATAGATATTGTGTTTACTTTTTTTTCTCATTTCTCTTTCACCTATTTTTCCTTTTTATATTCATATAATGAAGGACTGGATAGTTTGACATCTTCAGGGGTCTAAAAACCTGAGAAAGAAAAAACTATTTATGGTGGTTTAATGAGCCTAAAACTCATTGATGAGTTTAATATCTGACCAGGTGATCCGAGTAGTCATGACTTCATTTTAAGGTAGGAGAGAGCAAAAGGATTGGGAAGCACTGGTGTGGTGGGTCATGAATAATGCCAGTGTTTTGTTAATGAAGCTTAAACAGCTTGTTTCATCAGAGCTGGGTCTGGCACTCTGAAAACGTTTGGCACATTATTTGGCAAATAACGGATCTTTGCAGTAACAGCACATATGAAGGAGCCTCAGCACCGTGTTCTTTCCTTTAGTTACTGTTGAGAGCACAAGTGATTGATGAGCGTCCAGCCACAGCCATGACCACCGCTCAGCGCTCTCCTACACTGCAGCTGTTCACTTCAACCTATCAGCCCACCTGTGGGCTCAGGGTGGCTTACCCACTGACGACTGAGGGTGCTGGGGGGTGGAGGCTGGGGGGGAGCTGAGGATAAGCGAATTCCTGACAGGGAGCAGGGCGCGATGAATGGCAGCAGGTAGGCAGGCAGATGGGCCGCCAGGAGCCCCGGCGGGTCCCCGTGGAGGTGCAGGTGGCCCAGTTCAGCACAGAGCCACCCGGCCCGGCGTCAGCACTTTGGGGGAGAAACTGGGAAAAGTGCTGAGTCGGCAGGCACGTGGGGAGATGAGGTGAAGTGGTGAAAATTTTACCAGCATGATGAAAGTTTAAGCGTGCATGTTAAACAGGAGGCAGGAGGTGGGACACTTCCTCATTGTTTCCCCTGCAAACAGCAACTGTCTGTTCTCCAAGACTCTGTGAGTCTAATTTCACCCGACACCTCAGGGTGCAGCACAGCTCCTGTTTTTGACCCTGGCTTGACCTCAAAAATTCCAGTTTTCCAGTTTACAGTTTTTGCTTCTTCGTAATTAGCTGCAAGGACGCTGTTTTCGTTTCAAGGGCGTCCCTCTGCACTGCGGCCCGGCTCATATACATGCCAGAGCCCCGTAGCACTTTTGTTGACTGCCATTCACATGATGCTACATAAAGCAGCCAGTTCGCTCTGTGGTCTGCGGAGCAGTGTGCTGAGAGAGGGGGGGGGGCAGAGGGAGAGTCAAGCGGTGTGATTACATAAGGTTGGATAACAGGCTCACTGTGGGGATACACACTCACTAGACAGTGTTGATGGAGTCTTTCACAGGCCTGATGGGGTGTTGATTAGGATGTGCTCACACACAAGGAGCAGATGCTGAAATGGATTCTAATGTGCTTTTCTCTCTTTGTTTCTCGCTCCCTCTGATTTCTACTCATCACTCCTTTCATCCCTGCCATTTCCCCCTCTTTCTTTGTTGCCCCCTTGGCTGTCCTCCTCTCTGTGTGAACACCAAATCACACCCCAATCCCCAACCCTCCCCCCCAAACCCCTTTTTCTCTTCACTGCTGTCCTCCGCTGATTTCCAGGTGCGGTGCGAGCCTCGAGCATCTTCCCCATCCTCAGCGTCATCCTGCTCTTCATGGGAGGCCTGTGTATAGCTGCCAGTGAGTTCTACAAGTCACGCCACAACATCATCCTCAGCGCAGGGATCTTCTTTGTGTCTGCAGGTGAGTCAGACCCCGTCAAAATAATACAAAGGGGCAGGCGTCCATTCAATGGGCACAAACTTTGTTTTGTAATTGTGTATTTGAATTAGAGCAGTTTTTATTGGAACTACTGCCACTACACTCCATGAGTGCCTCCTGCAGCTGTTTCACAATAAAAGCCTTTCAGTGGTTCATGAAGAGTAGCTTAAAAAAGTCACTGCCAAAATAAAAAATTTCAGCAGTACTTTTAGATGAATTTTAGGTTTCATGTTTTCAAGCTCTTCTGCAGCCTTACCCTCATGTTTGACCAGTTTTTGGCAGGAATAATCCAATACATAGTTTGGTTTTTAGGGAATTTTACTGTTTATTCCTTTTACCCAGAGACAAGCTCATGGATGCCTTTTTGTGTTTCTGCTTGTAGATTTGAACACTAACTTTAGCAGTGTTAAGCTCTGTTTAGGGACATCTCTGGAGTCCTAGTATCAACAATATTTCCCAGAGTAAGACTGGACGTGGTTTGAAAGTTTAATTATCTAATGACTTTATTAACAGTGAATTTAGCAACTTTATAATCCAGACTTTTAAAAATGTAGTTGTATGGTGGCTTTTTCCTTTAAAGGAATAGTTTGACATTTCTGCGAAATATGATCATTCAATGATCTCATGTATTTACAGCAAGCAGTTGCTTAGCTTAGCTTAGCACAACATTTGGCAACTGAGGAAAACATCTGTAAAAGTTAAAAAAAAAAAACCTGCCCACCTATCAGCACCTCTGAACCAAACTAATTTACAAACTTTATATTGTTTATTTTATACATTCAAAAACGTAAATTTAGAAGGGGTGGTTGAGGCTAGCTTCCAAGTTTTATGCTAAGCTAGGCTAATCAGGCTAATCATATTTACTCTACAGATATGGGAGTGGTATCGATCTTATCATCTTATTCCCCTGCACAAAACGTATGTCCCAAAATGTAAAACTATTTCTATAAATAGCTGTCATTACACACTTCTGTTGTAATTAACATTGCACCACAGCATGAAATCAAAAGGCCGTGTACGCACCGTTTTGTCTCAGGCTGTTGGTTGTACTGCAGATACAAGTCCCTTCTTCTTTTGTCTTCCTTTCCTTTCTCTCAGTCCTGTTGCTAGGCTAAAAGCCACCCATTGGGACTCATCTCTAAAAATATGGTGTCCCTGACACACTTTCCCTACGATCCATCTTCCCAGATATACCATGTCAAACATTTCTCCGTGTGTGACTAAACTAACAAGTCAAAGTATAGGTATGTGGATATATGATGGGCTCTAATGCAGAACACAGCTCCAATGTGGATTATCTTGTACTCTGTCCCAAATGATCTGCATCAAGACCTGGAGCCGCCCTGTTTCTTGCTGCAAGGGCAAAGATTAGGAGTCTAATATCAGTCACTCCGGCATGGACAGGATTAGTACACTGTGTACAGTGCATGAATCAGCGCTCTAAACATATTTGGCATGATACTGCATATTAAGTTAACCATGCACCAAGAATAACTCTATGAGCTCATCCTGAATGATGCAATTTTTGTCGTTTTCCTCTCTTTGCCCGTTTCTCCATGAACTCATTACCCGTAACCCACCCCTCTCCCGTTGTATGGCGCCCATCCTGCATCTCACAACCTCTTAGGCCTGAGCAACATCATCGGGATCATCGTGTACATATCAGCCAACGCAGGGGACCCTTCAAAAAGCGACTCGAAGAAGAACAGCTACTCGTACGGCTGGTCCTTCTACTTCGGTGCCCTCTCCTTCATCATGGCTGAGATGGTGGGCGTCTTGGCCGTGCACATGTTCATCGACCGTCATCGACAGCTCCGAATAGGGGCGCGCGCAGCCGACTACCTCCAAGGCTCGGCCATAACGCGGATCCCCAGCTACCGCTACCGCTACAGACGCCGCTCGCGCTCCTCCTCCCGCTCCACAGACCCATCACACTCCCGTGACGCCTCGCCGGTGGGCCTCAAGGGCTTCAGCGCGCTGCCATCCACAGAGATCTCCATGTACACGCTGCCCCGGGACACCCTCAAGTCCTCCGGCACGCCCACCGCCACCTACAACTCTGAGAGGGACCACAACTTCCTGCAAGTCCACAACTGCATCCAGAAGGACCTGAAAGACTCGAGCCACACCAACACAGCGAACCGCCGCACCACGCCGGTATGAGGGAGTCGACACAGGCCAGGCTGGTCCGGTGGAGAGCGGAGACCAGGAGACACGGGAACCCCTGTGGGTGCGGTACGCCCCTGGTGAAGATGGATTTCCATGTTTATAGACATTTGTTCTTTTTGTTCAGCTGCATGACTTTTCCATTACCATTGTTGAGAGAGTTTCAACAAGTCTGCTGTGTTCCTGGATTGAATGGCAGAAGAGTGAGAATGGGTCAGGTTGTACCGAGAGAGTGAGGTCTGTCATTACGAGGTTTGTGAGGTTCGGGGCACTGAAAGGGAGGGTGGGAGGGAGTGGGCATTTATGAGATAAAGAATTGATTTCATGATTTCATTGCCCTTTGGTTTGACAGTTTTGCCCCACAGTTTGGTTGGAGCAACAGGTCAGGCTCCCCCTCAGCCAGCCCACCGCTCGGACATACACCTCTTTTATTTACTGACTCATTTGTTCATTTTTTGCATTAAAACTGTGAATTGTTACAGCTTGGGATTCAGTAAGAATTAGCCCAATCTGTAATCTCTAACAAAGGTACTATATATATATGTATTACTTTTATAAATAAATTATTACGTTAATAATCAAGAGTTACAGACTTTACCGAAGCAAAAAAGAAAAAAAAAAAACAAGTTAACTAAACCAAGTGCTGTTGGTAACATGAGAAAAAGACTCTTTTAGTATCTGTTCATTTGAAGGTCGAGAACAAGCAAAGGTCCTTTAGGTAGCAGCAGTGCACAGCGACTGATGCCGCCAGAGGCAGATACAGACAGTCAGCAGTAGAATAATATCTATTCTTTTAACAGAACCTTCTCGTCTTTTTCTCAGTCCCTGTTCGCTTTCTTTTTTGGGGGGGTCGTAACGGGAGAGTTGAACCCCTTAACAGAAAGAGCCAACAAAAGGGGTCAAAGTTCACAAAGCAAAGACTCCAAACACGACTTCTACAAAATAAAAAAGGAAGGAGCAGAGGGGAAGGAAAAGAAGAGGACGCCAAACACAAAAATAAAAACAAGTTAAATATGAAATAGTACAAGAGAAGCTAAGTGACTCACAATTTCAGAAATTAAATGCATGCTATAAAATTACAGCAAATCTGCTCTTGAGAAACTTAAGTTTTAAAGGTTAATAATTATAAGGGGAAAAAAAGCAAAGACGCTAAAGTTTAAAGTATTAATGTTTTCATGTGTATTTTTCTTATGTTTTCTTTTTTATTTATTTAGTTCATTTTATCTTATTGCTTTTGTGAGACAAACCAAACAATCTACATTGAACAAAACTGCTTTTTTAAATGGTTTGGTTGATTTCTTTATAAATATATAAATATATGTATGTATGTATTTTATTTTTAAAACTCACACAGCCTTAGTCATTTCTTTGTTTCTTTTGATTTTTAATGTGTTGTTCAATTTGAAAATGAAATCTTTAAAGGTGCCAAAACCGAATGATCCTATACTTGGATGCATCAAGTCCTGATGAATAAAATACGAACCCTAGGGGGAACAAATCACCATGTTTCACTGCGTGTCTCTAACACACACTTTATCCTGTAACACCTTTTTGTTTAACAGTTTTCAGTACTAACACTTGTCTGTCTGTCACATCATCGTATCTGCAATGCAAAAAAAAATGGACTTGAAAGTAAACTATTTGCCTCATGGTGAGCTGTGGAACAGAGCAGTAGTCCCCAACCTCTTTGGCTTCTGTTTACAGCAGTTCAACTAAAACACAGATTTTTTTTTTTTTTCATTTCAGGGTTTCTCAGAGGCCCGAGAGAGATGAGCTAATCCAGTATTTCATAAAAAAGAGCAAATCTCAGAGTCAGAAAAAATGATTTATAATAAAAATAATATTCATTATTTTGACAAAATAATCTGAACTCAGTTTTCACTTACTCACTGTTTTCAGAGCTTTCTGCTGTTTGCTTTTAGTTCTACAGTTAGATCACGTGATCACATGTCAGCCAACTCCGTGACAAACTACCAGATGAAGACCATGAGACGTGGTTGATAGTTCAGCAAAAAGCCAGTAACTTGACATTGAGTTAGGAGAGTTATGTGAAACTTCTGTCTCCAAAGTCAGGAATGAACTTTGACCCTCAAAACTTCAGTGTGTGTAATTATGTATTTCGTTCTTATCCTGTTGACCATCCTAACAGTTTTATTTAGGGTTAAGACTGAAGCTCGTTAAGCATCAGGAACAACACCAATAAACAACAAGCTCATTTTTGAGGAGGAGAATTTAGCGAGCACTACTTCCGTCTGTGTGAGGATCAAGTTTTTTGAACTTCCAGATTTTAAGAGTGAGAACACATTTGAAAGTTAAAATATGGTTTTTAGGATTAAGGATGGAATTAGCTGTAGACACACAAACACACACACACACACACACACACACACACACACACACACACACACACACACGTAACTTTCCTGAACACATGGCTGTGTACAGATGTTAAAGTAGGCAGGGTTTGAACTTCTCTCTCTCTAGCTCTCTCTTTTTTTTTTTTTTAATTTTCACAATTACTTCTGTCACTTTTTGCAAGTACAAAGACTATGAACAGTTCCAGGAGAGAATGAAAGTGTCTCCACATATTTTAATTATCCAGTTTGTCTCACGTCTCTGTGACGGCCATCTTTTAACCCCGAGTGCGGTCATAACAATTTTGCCCTCCAAAGTGGTTGGACAACACGTGTCGCAGGCGTTTTCGAGCGTACAGGGTGTGCATCAAACTAACTAGTGTTTTGAAGCACATCCTCGCCTTTAAGGTCACGGGTGGGGAAGTCATTTCGCCAGTAAGTGTCCTCACAAGTGTTGCAGCATGAATGTGTGCTCGTGTGTGTGTTTTTGTACTTCTATCTTAGTGAGAACCACAAAGACGAACGGACCTGAAAGAAAACAATTTTAGGCTTGAAAACATTTTCAGACTCTTGAATATCGACACAGAATATTATATATTGGCCTCAGCCTTCACACAACCATAAAAACTAAAAGCTGAGTTGTCAGATATATAAACCCTGTGTGCTCTGCTAAAACCACAGCCTCTGCCTGCTGTTGTAAAATGGTGATAACACGCTGTAATCGACCACTGGGAGCCGCAATCCAAAAATATCAGCGCTGGCTCTTGAATGCCTGTATCAGAACCCCAGTGTCTACATGAGTGTGTGCTTGTAAGTGGATTAATAAAGCCCAGAAAACACACACATCATGCTCTTGCCAGTTACACAGACACGAGACCAAGTTTACTGCGCGTACAGAAAGAGAATATCTGCCTTGCTTCTTAATAGAAAGCAGCTCAAACCGACAATTTATCAGACCTCAGAGCACACTGCATGGTACTTTGGGCTTCTGCTGTACAGCTACAGCTCTTTATACACCAGTAAACACATTTTCTCTCCCTCTTTGAGCTAAAAAGCCTCGCAGAAGGCAGCTTGTAAAGCACAGGCAGTCTGAGCATCTTTCTAGGACGAAGTATTCCTGAGAAAGAAACACAGGTTTGCAATAACACCGCCAGCTTCAGTCTACTGCAGGTTTAAACAACATCCAACACCTTTCTACACCACTGCCCTAAAAGCATTGCTTCCAGGGCCTAACATGCTCCTGCGACTGTGTATATGTGTGTGTAAAGAAGCTGCTCGTATACGGTGTTGAAGCAGATATACAAAGCAAATCTATTTGTGAGACAAAGAGGGGGTCCATTCCTCAGGACGGTGGCGTGTTTTATGTATGTGTGGTTGAAGGGGAGCGCAGTACAAAGAGAGGTCTTCCAAGAATAAATAATAAAAATAAAATAAATGGATTCACTGTATAAATAGAGTTCTGCATGATAGTATGCACAGCATGTGCTTCGCTAAACTTGTTCCCCGAGCTCTGGACAAGTTTAGAGGCCAGCGGATTCATCAAATAAGGGGGGAGAGGAAAAAAAAAAAAGTTTCTATTAGAAAAGTGCTGAGATCCTGATTTGCCATTATCTGAGCTCTCTGACACAAGCCGCTCTCCATGAATTTGAGGGGAAAATATGTCAACGTAGCAGTCTAAATGAATAGGGCCTTTTTTTTATGTATAGCCATCTTTATTCAGAATTCATAAGCAGCAGTCATTTTACAAGCCTGTATTACATTAAAGAGAAAATGTGTGTGTGTATGTGTGCGTTTGTGTGTGTGTGTGTGTGTGTGTGTGTGTGTGTGTGTGTGTGTGTGTGTGTGTGTGTGTGTGTGTGTGTGTGTGTGTGTGTGTGTGTGTGTGTGTGTGTGTGTTTGTGTGTGTGTGTGTGTGTGTGTGTGTGTATGTGTGTGTGTGTGTGTGTGTGTGTGTATGTGTGTGTGTGTGTGTATGTGTGGGTGTGGAGGAGGCTTAGTGATACTGGCTTTCTCATAAAGCAGCACCTGGCCCCAGCGCAGCTGTCTGAATGTCACATTTTTAATATGTTTTAGGAATGAATACGTTTTTCTGTCCGTCTCTCTCCTCGTCTCCTCCTAGGCGTATCCTTCCCATTTTGTCTCTCTGTCTCCTCTCATAACTTTTTCAACATGCTGTCTTGTCACGTCTTTCGCTGCGAGTTGGACCTGCCCGGCAGCGGGCAGACGGAGGGCCGTAAACGTCTGTGGAACAATACATCATCCGTGGTATCACAGACTGGGAGGGTGAGGACAAGTTCAGCCCTTATTTCTAATGTGGGGAGAGGCTGAGTTGTCAACCTTTTAAATCAAAGTCTAATATTTAAGATTAGGCACTCCCAGGCCCCTGCACAGCTTTTGAATTCACTTGTTCATAAAATATTTTCCCACTAATACCCATTCATGAGATTAAACTGTTGATTTTGTTTTGAAGTGACTGACCTCCCCTGGAGAACTCATACAGTCAGACTGAAACATAGTCACTTAGAAATTCCTCTAATCAGCTCTAAGGGTTATCAAGCTTTCCGGTCTCACACAGCACATAATGAAGTTTAGATTACAGCCTGAAAATTACAGCCTAATTATTTAGTATATATTGGTATCAATAAAACACATTCTGGGTTTTTAAACACTGATTACTTATTTATTTTTATTTAATTATTACTTATTAATACTAACACTGTAATCTAAAGTGTTACTGCAGTTTACAGCGAGAACAGTGGCAGATTTCATTTTGAGACAGTTGGTCTAAACAAAAGCAGTTCATCAATTCTGGCCTCAATGATTGTGTTTTTTGTCGTCTGAGATGTTGATGCTGACGTTAGCTAATGTTGCTTGAAAACCCAATCTCTATATCTGACCCTCTGGTGTT